AAGAGAAAACCAATCCAAAAGATAGCAGAAGACAAGAAATTACTATGATCAGAGCAGAACTGAAGGAGATAGACACAGCAAAAAACCCTCCAAAAAAATCAACAAATCCAGGAGTAGTTTTTGAAAAAAAATAACAAAAGACTGCTAGCTAGACTAATAAAGAAGAAAAGAGAGGGTTGGGTGCAGTGGCTTACGCCTGTAATCCCAGCACTTTGGGAGGCCGAGGCGGGTGGATCACAATGTCAAGAGATCGAGACCATCCTGGTCAACATGGTGAAACCCCGTCTCTACTAAAAAAATACAAAATATTAGCTGGGCATGGTGGTGCATGCCTGTAATCCAGCTGCTCAGGAGGCTGAGGCAGGAGAATTGCCTGAACCCGGGAGGCGGAGGTTGCGGTGAGCCGAGATCGTGCCATTGCACTCCAGCCTGGGTAACAAGAGTGAAACTCCGTCTAAAAAAAAAAAAAAAAAAAAGAAGAAGAAAAGAGAGAAGAATCAAATAGACACAATAAAAAATGATAAAGGGGATATCACCATTGACTCCACAGAAATAGAAACTACTATCAGAGGATACTATAAACACCTCTATGCAGACTGGTCATGGTGGGTGCACTTTGTGAGGCTGAGGGGGGTAGATCTTTTGAGGTCAGGAGTTCGAGACGAGCCTGGCCAACATGGTGAAACCCCATCTCTACTAAAAATACAAAAATTAGCTGGGCGTGATTGCAGGTGCCTGTAATCTCAGCTACTCAGGAGGCCAAGGCAGGAGAATCACTTGAACTCGGGAGGCAGAGGGTTGCAGTGAGCCGAGATTGTGCCACTGCACTCCAGCCCATGTGACAGAGCAAGACTCTGTCTCAAAAAACAAAACAAAACAAAAACCCTCTACATAAAAAACTAGAAAATCTAGAAGAAACTGATAAATTCCTGGACACATACACCCTCCCAAGACTAAACCAGGAAGTTGAATACCTGAAACACCAATAACTTCTTCTGAAATTTCGGCAGTAATTAATAGCCTATCAACTAAAAAAAATCCCAAGACCAGACAGATTCAAAGCCAAATTCTACTAGAGATACAACCAGGAGCTGGTACCAATACTTCTGAAACTATTTCAAACAATTGAAAAGGAGGGAATCCTCCCTAATTCATTTTATGAAGCCAGCATCATCGTGATACTAAAACCGAGCAGAGACACAATGAAAAGAGAAAACTTCAGGCCATTATCTCTGATGAACACTGATATGAAAATTCTTAATACTGGCAAACTGAATCTGAATACTGGCAAACTGAATCCAGCAGCACATCAAAAAACTTAAACAGAGGTCTAATATCTAGAATTTACAAGGAACTTAAACAAATTTACAAGAGAAAAGCAACCCTTTCAAAAATTGGGCAAAGGATATGAACAGACACTTCTCAAAAGAAGACATTTACATGACTAATAAACATGAAAACATGCTCAAAATCACTGATCATTAGAAAAATGCAAATCAAAACTACAATGAGATACTATCTCAGGCCAGTCAGAACCGTGATTATTAAAAAGTCAAGAAACAATAGATGCTGGCAAGACTATGGAGAAAAAGGAATGCTTTTATACTATTGGTGGGAATATAAATTAGTTCCATCATTGTGGAAGACAGTATGGTGATTCCTCAAGGACCTAGAACCAGAAATACCATTTAACCTAGCAATCCCATTACTGGGTATATACCCAAAGGATTGTAAATTATAAATCATTCTACTATAAAGATACATGCACACGTATGCTTACTGCAGCACTGTTTACAACAGCAAAGTCATGGAACCAACCCAAACGCCCATCAATGATAGATGAAGCTGGAAGCCATCATCCTCAAGAAACTAACACAGGAACAGAAAACTGAACACTGATGATCTCACTCATAAGTGGGAGTTGAACAGTGAGAACACATGAACACATGAACAGTGAGAACACACAAACACACCACAACCTCTTGTGGGGTGGTAGGCAAGAGGAGGGAAATTACAGGATGGGTTAATAGGTGCAGGAAACCACCATGGGACATGTATACCTATGTCACAAACCTGTATTTTCTGCACATGTATCCTGGAACTTAAAGTGAAATTAAAAAATAAAAAATACATAAAAGGACATTATAGATAAGGATCTTTGATTGCTTTTCTTCCAACAAGTATATAACCCTCCAACAAATCACTCTCTGAGACTTGACAGTATCTAAAAAATTGGGATATACCCTCATCACAGAGCTGTGATGAAAATGAAAATGCACATACAATTCTCAGTGTACTTTAGCACAAAATAAAATTTGAAAATATGTTAGTAAAGAGAAAATTTTAATTACCAAATGGATGGGTGAGGGAGTACTGAGCATGAAAAAGAAATCAGGACTACACAATAATTTTGAACCTGTGCAACTAATGCTAGTCATAAGAATAGGTAAGTCAGAAAGAAGAGCCCCAGCTCAGTTAGATCAAGGGAGTTGGTGACCATCAATAAAGAGAAGCTAATCAAATTTATTTTACGTATATGAACATAAAACCAAATAAATCACAAAGTCTTTTGGACCACAGACTTAAAAAAACTTGGTGCAGGACATCAAATGCAAAGTTCCATGGCAGTCTATGAATGCTGTCAAAAGCATAGGTAACTTAAAATAAAACCTGATGTTTAACCCAAGGATTCTTCTTCACATTTTCAGCTTTCCAGTTTCCCTAGATTTGCAATCCCATATATTACATACTTAGTAAAAATTGTGTGTGTGTCCAAAAGGAATGGCAACAAAAGCCAAAATAGACAAATGGGATTTAATTAAACTAGAGAGCTTCTGCACAGAAAAAGAAGCTATCATTATAGTGAACCAGCAACCAACAGAATGAAAAAGAAATTTTGCAATCTACCCATCTGACAAAGGGCAAATACCCAGAATCTACAAAGAACTTAAGCAACTTTATAAGAAAAAAACAAACAACTCCATCAAAAAGTGGGCAAGGGATATGAACAGACACTTCTCAAAAGAAGACATTTATGCAGTCAACAAACATATATAAAAAAAGCTTATCCTCACTGGTCATTAGAGAAATGCAAATCAAAACCACATTTAGATACCATCTCGTGCCATTTAGAATGGAGATCATTAAAAAATCAGGAGACAACAGATGCTGGAGAGGATGGAGAGAAATAGGAACAGTTTTACACTGTTGGTGGGAGTGTAAATTAGTTCAACCATTGCGGAAGACAGTGTGGAGATTCCTCAAGGATCTAGAATAGAAATACCATTTGACCCAGCAATCCCATTACTGGGTATATACCCAAAGGATTATAAATCATTCTGTTATAAAGACACATGCACATGTACGTTTATTGTGGCACTGTTCACAAAAGCAAAGACTTGGAACCAACCCAAATGCCCCTCAATGATAGACTGGATAAAGAAAATGTGGTACATATATACCATGGAATACTATGCAGCCATAAAAAAGGAATGAGGTTATGTCCTTTGCAGGGACATGGATAAAGCTGGAAACTATCATCCTTAGCAAACTGATACAAGAACAGAAAACCAAACATTGCATGTTCTCACTCATAAGTGGGTGCTGAACAAAGAGAACACATGAACACAGGGAAGGGAACATCACACACTAGGGCCTGTCAAGGGTAGGAGGCTATGGGAGGGATAGCAGGGGGTGGGGAAACAGGGGAGGGACAGCATTAGGAGAAATACCTAATGTAGATGATGGGGTGATATATGCAGCAAACCATCACGGCATGTGTACACCTATGTAACAAACCTGCACATTCTGCACATGTATCCCATAGGTAGAAGTGGTAGAACATAAATAATTGATTTGTAAGTTTTGAGAATGTACTTTTTCTAAATAAAGAAGAAATATGGAGAAAAACGATGCCTGATAGACTGAGTAAAATGGCCTTTAATTGTCATTAAGTCAAAAGTAAGCCGTACTATGTTACAATTTTAGTGTGTGAAGAAATTGTTTTTGAGAGAGCTATTCAAAGCTAAAATTCTGTATGAATTGTACAAAATACATGAAATTGCAGGTAACCAAAAAAATCTCAGGAATCTCCAATTTTATAGCAATTTACATTATTTTTTCTCCAATTGGCCTGGGACTACTCTCTAAGGCAACATTTCAATGACAACGAGATTGTTTCTGAATGTGGCTGGGGAAAAACCATCATTGCTGAAGGCGGGGACATATACTATTCTTTCCCTGAAGAATAAAAAAGTACTAAAATCTTTCTAGGCAGTACTATCCATTAGGCGAAGAACTGACAAGGAATATAAATGGAATCAAGAGGGGAAAGAAGACTGAATTTAAGGTGACCTAGTTCCTGTTAGAGTTTTATCGACTGAACTCTACCATACAGAGATTCAAAGTCATTTCATCCCTATTCATAGACTGTATACAGCTAGACACAGATGCAACCAAAAATGGACATTCAAAAGAGTAAGTGTTCTCACAGGTGAAGGAGTGGCTGTCTAGCTAGGTTGAGAAGAGTGAGTGAGGAGACTGGAAGTGGAATCTAGGTGGGACAAGAAGTGAGTAGTGGGAGAAGAGAGAATCACTGGATACTCCAGGGGCATCAAGAAGCCAGCAGAATGCTTTTTTTTTTTTTTTTTTTTTTGCATAGTATGTTTTAGGTTGCAAAATATTTGATTCTCATTTATAAGCTATGTGTTACGATTTTCTACATATTATAAATGATAAAACTAAGCTTCAGAGCAGTTAAATGACTTTCCGGGCTCTCAAGAGTTTTGGAGAGCTAAAGCTGGGGCTCCTACCCCCAAATCTGGCACTTTTTTGTCCTCTAAAACCGATCATTATAAATGAAGAGTCTGAGGAACAAGCATGTGGATTTTATGAAATGTAGGTTTAAAAAATGCAAACAAAAATGTAAACATATCAGGATCCTTAAAAAAGCACTCTCCATGTTTTGAAGAATAGCGAAATCACTAGAAATGACTGCGTACCTTACTACAGATAGCCCAGCTCCAATGTAATTTAGCAGCGGATTTGATACTTCTTCTGCATCCAATCCAAACCAGCCAAACCTGAAAATCCAGAAAGGCACATCAAATTAAATAGCAGTTAAGCTGTTTCATCATAATGGTTAAGGGCATGGACTTGAAGCCAGATTCCTAGGTTCAAATCTTAGCTCTCTCACTTATTAGCTGTGACTTTGGATAAGCTATTTATCTTCACTGTGCCTTAATTTTCAATTCTTTAAATTTAAATTTTATTTTATTTTATTTTATTTTATTTTTTGAGATGGAGGCTTGCTCTGTCACCCAGGCTGGAGTACAGTGACTTTTTAAAAACTTTTAGGTTAAATATCCCTACTCTGTCATCACCATAAATTTTTTTTTCCTGCCTTGACATTGTCATGATCATTGCCAGGATTCACTGAGAACCATCCAGAGGCAAGAGAAAAGGAGAAAAGAAGGAAATGAAAAAGAAAATAGCAGGGGGTGGAGAATGGGGAAGGAAAGGAAGGGAGAGAATGTATTGGAGGTAAGTTGGTTTTTGTTGTTTTGAGGTGGTTATCATGCTCTGAGTGGAAAGGGAGTCCAAATGGTAAAGTGAGAATAATACCCTACATTCCACCCATTTTCCCAAAATTGATTTGAATGTTAATCTTAATGCTGATCAAGGTCACCAGTCTGATAGAACTTCGTGTAACGATGAGACTGTTCTGCATCTTCGCTGCACAAAAGTACAGCCTCTTCCCATAGGTAGCTACTGTGAACATGAATTGTGGCTAGTGCAACCAAGAAACTGGAGGTTTAATTTTATCAACTTTTAATTAATTTAAATATAAATGGCTTCCCGTGGCTTGTGGCTACTCTATTAGACAGCACAACGCTAGAGATGGGGCTGGCAAACTTTTCTCAAAGACTAGACAGTAAATCACTTAAGCTTTGAGGGTTGGTTATTCTCTTGCTGCTCAGCTCTGCCACTGTGGCATAAAAATAGCCATAGACAATCCTTAAATGGATGGGTTTGGCTGTGTTCCGATAAAACCTTTTATTTATATATATGGCTGGGAAACTGGGCCATGGCTTGCCAACTTTACTCTAGAGCAGGCGTCCCCAAACTTTTTACACAGGGGACCAGTTCACTGTCCCTCAGACCGTTGGAGGGCCCGCCACATACTGTGCTCCTCTCACTGACCACCAGTGAAAGAGGTGCCCCTTCCTGAATTGTGGCGGGGGGCCAGATAAATGGCCTCAGGGGGCCGTAGTTTGGGGACTCCTGCTCTAGAGGAAACAATATGTACTCTAGAACCAGATGACCTGGGTTTGAATCCTAGCTTGCTAGTTGTGACCTACAGTAAGTTACTTAACCTCTTTGTGTATCTACTGTCTTATAAGATAGTGCTTACCTCATGTATTTGTGAAAGTGACATGAGAATGATGCATAGAACATGTCCAGCAAATTGTCACACAATAGAAACAGACAGTTTCGTTTTTCTCTCTCTACCTCTATTTCCTAGATTTAATGCCATACTATATCTTGATCAAATATCTAGATAACTTATTAAGAATTTATGGGCCGGGCGCGGTGATTCATGCCTGTAATCTCAGCACTTTGGGAGGCCGAGGCAGGTGGATCACGAGGTCAAGAGATCGAGACCATCCTGGTCAACATGGTGAAACCCCGTCTCTACTAAAAATACAAAAAATTAGCTGGGCGTGGTGGCGCTTGCCTGTAATCCCAGCTACTCAGGAGGCTGAGGCAGGAGAATTGCCTGAACCCAGGAGGCAGAGGTTGCGGTGAGCTGAGATCATGCCATTGCACTCCAGCCTGGGTAACAAGAGCGAAACTCCGTCTCAAAAAAAAAAAAGAATTTATGGCAAATAGCAATAGAAGGTGGCATATTTGATGCATTTATTTTACCAGATATAAACTCAGTAAGAATAAGATTCATATGTTATTCCTCTCGGTAAGCACTTGCCTTACATAGAATATGGGGCAGGAAATCTTAGTTGAACCAGTTTGACTTGAATTACCTTGAGCTTGCCCAGCCAGTTAAGGCATTAAATGATCCCCAGATTAAGATTCCAAGGCCTAAACCAATGGTTTTGATAATTGGGACAACAGCAATGTTCCCTGTAGATGTAATATACAGAAGAAACATGTTATTTCCAATATAGAAAATACATTTATAAATAGAATTAGTTTTTATTCTAACTTCAACTGCAGTACATGGGATTTAGACAAATTTAGTAAAGCACAGTTTCTTATTTTTTAAGTAAAATAACCACACTTTTGGCATTAATGATTATGACTGTTAAAAGAACTAGGCTTAGGGAAAAATTCTACAAAGAAAAATGTTGAATTAGCTCCATTCCTAACTGTACAGAGGTTTCTCACCCTTAACAAAGCTCTCTATTCTGTGACTCTTCAAAGAAGTTGTCAGTGGTAAATTATCAGTGACCATCCTCTTAGACTTGAACTAGGGCCAATTACTAGCAGAAGTCTTTGGCCCTAAAACAGCCCCAGAATTTGCTCTTTCATGATTGCTGATTATTCTTCTGGATTTCTGGATTTTCACATTTGTTCTTTTATGTTTTGAGGGTCATTGGGGGCCAAATCTGTCATTTTTTTTTTTTTTTTTGGTCTCAGTCCTACAATCTCAAAAAGTTATTTCTTGAGGATTCCATGATGTCTTCATCTCTTGATTCTCCTGTTTCTCACTACCTCTTTCTCTGACTGCTATTTCTCATCACTCCTTCCAGAGTAAGGTACCACCTAAAGATTTTCCCTTGAACATATTTGTCTCCTTACTTTATTGTCCCTTCTGGGTACCTGACCTAATTTCATGATTTCGGCTATTAGCTAAAGGTCCATGTTCCCAGTGCTACAGTTCTAGCCTGGACCTACTTTAGAGTTTTAATTATTTTCCAAACTGTCAAGAAGAAATCTCCAACCAGATGTTCTCTATGGTGGAAACATGTGGATGTTCATGCTCAGAAAATGCCAAGCTGAACCAACCCATCAGTTTCCCTTTCAAGCATGTTCTCTTTTCTATTTCCTCACTTGTGTCAATACCACCACCCTCCTAAGCACCTATAATCAAATCTCTACATGATCATTGGCTCCTCCCAGTCTGCTATGTCCTATATGCTATAAGGTGCTCCAACCTATAGCACCCACATCTGCAACATATCTCAAATTAGACTCTTTCCTCACTGACATCCAGTGGAACCTGCTGGGTGAACAGAAATGCTACGGTGGCTATAAAGAGCTGCAGGACAGATGGATGCTTAGTCTGTTCCTCTCCCCCATTAGATATGACAATCTTACTGAGGTATAAGTGAGGTATAATAACATAAATCCTGGTGGAAATTTAAAAGCTAACTCTTTTGTCATCAAACATATGAATATCACTAAATAATTTAACTCCTCAGAGATTCAAATTAAGTGGGTAATAAATACATTTTCATGTTAATTTTTTAAAATAAATGTTTAACATTTTAACATTTATTTGCGTTTAACAAAATTGTTTCTAAAGATCATTGATATTTGGAATTCTCTTTTTTGAAGAAAAAATATTTCTTGATTGACCAAGCCAAATTCTAATTATATAATTTCAGGTACTGATAAGGCAACAGAGAGATTTTTGTTTGCTCTGCTTTTTTGTTAACCAGCCCTTTTGAAATGATAGTATCTTCACACAGGCCTACTTAGGCTAAGTCCTAAAAATGGTATTAGTTGAGATTACTATTTAATAAATATTTTCTGATAAACATGCTAGAAAAAAGGGCCAGAATACATTAAAATATGAGTTATGCTTGAATAGATGGAGAACAATGAAAATAACATGAGTTATGCTTGAATAGATGGAGAATAATTAAAATGTTTTTACTATAATAATTTTCTACCAGGAACTTAAAAGTAAATCATTAAGAGGAACAAATCAGGTGGAACAAATCAGGTGAGGCACCAAAAATATTCATAGAGCATGTGAGGGCAAGAAACTAGTTAATTTCTAGTATCAATGACGAAGGGTTATTCAGAATCACTGTTTGTGCTATTTCCTTCTATTGTGAATGAGAATTGTTTTGATCATGGTGATAGTATAAGTGATATCAGACATTACCTGTTGCCCAAATGCAGCCCCCTAGCATTGCAAAAGGCCAAAACTTTGGGCAATGTAATATCAGATTGACCACCAAGGCAACCAACCATATGGCAGCACAAAGGACCCACTGGAGAAACATTCCTAGAAATAAATAAACTCAGCGTTAGTGGTACAAATTGAATTGAGTAAATCTGCACTCAGGAATATCAATGAGGAGGAATTATAGGAACGGCCACAATTTACTGAATGCCTATACGCCACGGACTTTGCACATTTCATTCTTACGATTACGCTGTATCATAATCAACCCGAGCTCAAAGAGAGAGAATCTGCAATGAAGCAACCTGTCCGAACAGCTGGTGGTTTGTTGAGCTGGAATTTAAACCCAGGTTGACTCCAAGGCTTATACACGGTGGGCTCTTGCTTAACATTCTTTTTTTCTCCTATTAGACAAATCAAGAATTTTCTGCCAAAGAGTGATGGCAAGACCCAGTCTATATCCTCATTCAGAGGCCACACTGAGTACTCTTGCTGCCCCCAAATATGGTATTAAGTACTTCAGAACAGCACAACAGAATTTAAACCCTTGGGGGCTATTTATACCACCTCTGGGAGAAAAATAGTCATTTATGGCTACACATAGGCCTCATACAGTTAGAGTTCAATGTATATAATGAGTCAGGTATTATAAACCTGAGAATTAGTTTTCTAGGTCAAGGTGGCCCTACTTTCTATACTTTGACTTGCCATTTGCCAGTTATCTGAAGATAACCTGGTGTTATGAGGTGTATCTGCACGTTTCTGAGGCTTCTGCATCATTAAGGATTTAGAGACTGGAAGGATGAGGAAATAGTTGACACTGAAAGAGACACTGAGGCTGTTAAAACTCAATGTATTACTTCTGGCACTAACTTTGGAAGATAGCTGCTCTACTTCGATTCCATCTCATGGTGGAGGAGAGAGAAAAATGGCTGCTAATCTCTACGACAAAAGAGTAGAATCAGCCCGGCACAGTGGCTCACGCCTACAATCCCAGCACTTTGGGAGGCCAAAGTGGGCAGATTGCCTGAGCTCAGGAATTTGAGACCAGTCTGCACAACACGGTGAGACCCCGTCTCTACTAAAAATACAAAAAATTAGCCAGGTGTGATAGTGTGTGCCTGTAGCCTCAGCTACTTGGGAGGCCGAGGAACGAGAATCACTTGAACCCTAAAGGCAGAGGTTGCAGCGAGCCAAGATTGTGATACTTCACTCCATCCTCAGTGAGAAAGTGAGACTCTGTCTCCAAAAAAAAACCCAAAAAACAAAACAAAAATGAAAAGAATAGAATCACAGAGATGAAAAGAAACTTCATTTTATAAGTTTTTCACTTTACGAGTAAGAAACTGAAAACAGCAGAGTTGGTAATATTTGCCCAGGATCACAAAGTTAATTGTGGATGACCAAAAGCTAGATCCTCTACCCACTTTTTTGTTCTTCTAGTAGTTTCCATTCTTGTTCTAACTCCAAAGGAAAAAAGAAGAAAGGCTCTGGAGGAAAATCTATCACATTTTTCAAAAGTATGCTAAGATTCCTGTTTGCGGATAGTTAGGATATTACACAACTAACTACACATTATGTTTGTACTTCATGTTCATTTATTCCATCAACAAATATTTTTGATCACTAGCCTTCAATTTAAAAAGAACAACTTTGTCTTCAGGGCTTGAAAGCCTAACTTCTAAGATCTGACGACAAACGATGTGTACGAGGAATACAATTTGTCATTCTATTTTCTAAGGCTGAAGACAAAGAATTGGGGAAATAACGCAACAGCTGTCAGGTAATAAATGCTGCCAGGTAAGTAATTCCCAACATGTGCTCACCATAAATCTCCAATAACTTCTCCTGGCTTCAATATGGAAGTCAGGTAAATATAAATAACTCTTGCTTCTCCTTCCCCCAAATTCACGTTAGTCCATTGTGCTATAATGTAACATGTGCATTCCTTGAAATCACTCCACTATGCAAAATCATGCAGTAAAAACTACAGAGCATACGGGGAAAATGGGGCTAGGAGAACAACACTTAACCTGATTAAAATGGTAGTACAGTTTTAACTGGTTAACTAGTTAATTACATGAATGCTGTAATAAATAGGGCATTGTTATTGGAAAAGACCAGAAGTTTGCTCCTGAAGTGGGCATCTAAAGGGTTGCAGCTCACAAGTTACTGTGAAGGTGCTGGATGAAGAGTTCTGACAGCAGAAGTGATACTTCCTAACCATATGTGGTGAACTAAGGGAGCTGGTTGATAGTTGAAGGATGTGCATATGTGTGCATGCATTGCGTGTATTATCACACATCTTTATCCATCTGGATGCAGTTTTCTGTGTTTACCTAGAGCTTTCTCACAGACAAAACTGCACATAAGCAAGCAAAAAATCTGTTTTGCTTACATTGTTCCCTAATATAGCAATCATGTTGAAGACTCATGTTTTCAAAACAACTGTTATTAGTAGAATTATAAATTTCTTCCATTCCCATAATGGCTAACGAGCTTTCCTGACAGTACCCACCCTAGCTTTACCATGAAACAACCTTAATGGTTCTCCTATGATGACTTTCAGACAAGCTGGTGTGGGCACTATCAAATGATTAATATTAAGCTCTATTCATTATGTCTCAAGACCAACACGATTTATTTTTGTAGCTATAATTTTAAAAGACCAAAAAAGAAACTTGATCTTTAAAAATAATGTAAGGTTAACAAAGAAGGAAAAATAATTACCATCACCAGTATCAAATTTTTTAAGTGGCACAAAATTTGAGCCAAACAAAAGGATAGCTACAAAACAGGAGGTGTAACCGAAGGTTAGATCGGCTCCATTACTGCTCATGGTTCCAGCCTTGCTGAGTTCGCTGGTTCACTTTAGACTTGATGTACTTCTCAGGAGCTTCTGAAATAAAAGAAAAACAAAACGCCTGAGACGTGAATCCACGAACAAATTGTGATTAACGTATTTTTCAAAAGTATGCTAAGACTCTTTTTTTGTGGGTAGTTAGGACATCACACAACTATATATTATGCTTGTGCTTCATGTTCATTTATTCTATCAACAACTATTTTTGATCATTTAAAAAGAACATCATTTAAAAAGAACAACTTTGTCGTCAGGGCTTGAAAGCCTAACTTCTTCTAAGATCTGAAGACAATTTCGTACATTACAAAAAATATTCTCCTGTGTAGGTTCCACCACTGCAGAAAGTTTTAGTGGACAACACTGCTAAACTTATTTAACTTATTTAACGGCTCTAGCTTCTCTATGAAGAAAAGGACTAAAACTACAAATAACCAAGAAGTAGACATTTTTTCATAAAGTTACCGTTTGCGAAAGGCCACTTAATACAATTTAGTTTAGTTGCCCGAGTTACACGAGAAAAAAACACCACCAAAGTAATTTTATCACAAGAGGTAAACAGACCACAATACTATCTTGGATTCATATGTTGCACACTCGCCCTTTGGAATAAGCTCTCTGGAATAGAATTCAGAATTATCCAGTGGTTTCTTTTTCATAGTGACAACTTCTTGTATATATGCATTGAATAAAGTACATCTGAAATCACCTTTTCTTGTGATTTTATTTCGGAGTGACAAATACATAAGGTCCATGTATTGTTCCTTATATGTTCTTGCAGAGAATATTAAATATACAACAACCTAAAAAATGTTATTTAGCATTATTAAGGACAGTTTAATTGAAAACAAGGATCACTTCAAAACTGGTCAATAAACTTTAGCAAAGAAAATGTGTATTTGACATTGTGTGGACTTTCTTAAAAACACATTGCTAGTAAGAAAACATCCTTCATAGGGATGTAGCTGAGAAAGAGACCCTGAGGTACATTTCAACATTGACACAGTAACAGTATTGAAGAAGAAAAAATAATAGTTCTACTGTTAGGCTCAAAGAGAGGTCCAGCACTGCAGTGGCTTACATGGGTTATGGCTCAAGCGTCAGCTGAAGCAGGTGCTTGCTGCTAAGTTAACAGACGTGCTAAGATAACAGAGCTGCAACAGGTCAGAGATGCAGGAAATACCTTGAAAAGCTAATCTATGACTAAAAAGACACATGATCGGGTGATAGCTAACACATCATTCTTTCCCTCATTTTAATTAACAACAAGCAAAGCAAAACAAAACCTTCATGTGTACATTGATAAGAAGAGAATGTCTAACATTCAAAAGTGGCCAATTATTATATTGGAAAGAAGGCTCCACAAAGGCCCTAAATCTCTGAAATGGAAAGAATAATTTGAAGTGCTAGAGTGTCTGAGCTGCATTTTGACTACCAAACGAACACCAGTTATTACCTATAGATAAATGAAGTTTATTGCATGCAGCTCTTGAACATTTTAGAAAGCATGTGATCTCATTTCATTGTGAAATGGCAATAACTTACTGTCTTTAAAAAGGCTCTCTCTTTAAAACAATGAAATTTTTGTGGAAAAGAAAAGCAGTATGACTCCATCCAGCACATTTTCCCAATTCTTTCTGCAAGAAACCTAAACAATCTCAAACATTATTTTAATGTTTTTTTCAGTGTCCACTGATATTTTGTCATTTTATTACTTTTGTTTAATTTATTAGTAAATACTTCTCCTTTACGTTTTTTCTAGTAATTTAAACTTCTACGCAGACTTTTAAAAAACTGCTATTTGGTACATTCTGATCAACACTGTTTGTTCCCCTCCAACTAAAATTTCATTTTTAGTTTCATGTTAATTTCCCCAAATCTCCCGGCAAGTACTGCCTGTCTTTGGGCTAAAATTAACAGTGCTTGAAAGTATTTATTCTGAGCCTTGATTTTTCTTTTTAACCATGAGCATGTTTTTGAAAAATCATGAGACGCTCCCCTGCAAAGCAACTTGGCTTTCCTTTGAGTTGCTGTACTCACTGCGTTCCGGGCTGGCGGCTGAAACTCCTTCCTACTCAGCGCTGGCGCGATCCGCCCACGACGTGCGGGTAGGGAGCCGGCGCCTGACTCATTCCCTCTGCGTGCCGGGGCGTCCTGGCCAGCCTCTACTGTCTGCGGGGACACTTTCCCACACACCCGCCGGGAGGAGAGGGGAGGGCTCTAGCCCCCGTGGCCCAGGACGCTCGCGGAGAGCGCCAATCCAGCCCTGACTTCCTGCTGGGACGTTTACCTCCACTTGAGGAGGGTGGAGAGGGGAGGGCTTTAGCACGGGCCACTCAGAGGCCTTCCTGGGACAGCAGGTTGGGGAACGCCTTCCTTCAGTTTCTGTGCTCCAGTGAATTGTCAGGTGGCTCATGAGGAGTCCTTCAGCTCTGAGCTGGTCAACCAGGAAACGAGAAGAGTTTTGTGTATTTGTAGGTGATTATTCAGGGAACTCTCAGCATGTCACCCTCTCCAAGTGTCATAGAAGGAGGTTTTTTTTTTTTTTTTTTTTTTTTTATTGTTTATGGATAAAATAAAAGGCTGAGAAATTTCACACCATTGTAAAAGATTACCTGAAGTGATTTTTTTCACTTAGTATTAGAAATTCAGCTGCACCACTGATGTCATTAATGTCTCTTGTGACATCACGAGATTTCACTTCACTAATTCTTTATAGATGCACCCAAGCCATTTATTTGTAGAAGTCATTTATCTGTATTTTTATCTAATATGTATTGTGTCACATGATAATATACATTCTAGGATTCTGAAGCTTGGCTGCACATAACAATGGCCCAGGGTGGTGGCTTTAAAACACAAAACAAAACTAAACTAATATCTGGACCTAATACCAAAGCAATCAAAGTAGAATCTCTGAGTATGTGACTCAGGAATCATTTTCTTTCAGAAGCCTTCCCTGGGTGACTCTAATGTGAAGCTGGGCTTGAGAATCATATTCTAATCAATATTTATCCAATCTTATTGCCTGTAAGAATCACCTGAAGAATGGGTTAAAAATGCAGGCTCTTGACATCTTTATTTAGATTTTAAGGAACTTTGTTCTAGTCCTCTACTGTCTGATATGTAGCCACTAGCAGCATGGGGTTATTTAAAATTAAATCGCAAGAAAACATTCAGTAGTTCACTTGCACTGGACACTTTTCAAGTGCTCAGTAGCCAGATGTGAAGGTTGTAGAAGATTTCTGTCACTGCAGAAAGTTCTGGAAAACACTGCTCTAGACTTAGCCTTGGAAGTACAGTGGTGCCCTAGATGAAATCATCTCTTCATGTGGGTTCCCATATGCCAAAGGATGCGAACTTTAAGTCGGAAGGGGGAAGTGTACGTTCTGTGCTAGTGTGAGTTCAAGAAAGGTCTCTCTGAGGAAGTGATATTTAACCCAAGACCATCCAGTGGTTGGTAATGGGTGTGGCATTTACAAGAAGGAGAAAACACAAGGACTATTAACAGATGACATTTCCTAGGAGGAAGTTCTTCCTTAAACATTAATCACATTCACAGACTATCATGTCAGATGGGCAGATGGGAAGGCAAAATATCATTTCATTTAAAGAATTAAAGCAGCAAAACTTTTTCACTTAAGGAAGAGGATTAATTTAGCAGTTCAGAAAGGTTTTGAAGAAATCAGTTCCCGTTTCCACACATGCACACTTAAGACACACATGTACACAAACTCTCTTCCAAAAATAAAGGTCCTAAGTCCAACCTAGAATTGTTTCACTTCATGGTCACATGATCATGTGGTTTATTTTTGCTTCAGACTCACATGGAGAAGCTGAAGCTTGTGTCAGCATTTGTTGAGAATTCCCTAAAATCTAAAAGTGAGTTGGCTGAATTAGGCCTGAGAACATTCATTATGGGATATGCCACGCCCTTGCTTTTTACATTATGCCACAGAACAAACCCAAACATGGATGAATCTGTTCTTAAAGTAAAATTTTTCTTTCAAATTGTTTCATATATGTGATTGCCTAAACATAATTGTTTGTATTGGAAGAGTCCTGGCAGACACTAGAAAATCCAGTTTCTGACTTTAGTTTCATCTATTAGCAATATTTCTCTCAGAAAGCCATTTAATTTCTTTAAACCTCAGTTTTCTTATACAGAAAATGATAATAATAAGACCTGTGCACCTTTCTCTTTGATGTGGTCAAAAGATATATATGCATACATATATATATATAAAATAAAACATTATTACTAGGACTTCCGGTTTCTGCTCTGACATTTAAGTCTCCATTCCCATGATCACAACAAGAAAAAAAAACTGAGCAAATAAAAAATCAACAACTCTTTTTAGATCTGCCAAGGAATTGAGGTCATAGGACATGCCACCTCTTTGCAAACTGAAGACATAGGTGAATACAAAGAATTACAGCTTATCCGGACAGCAAAAGTCACTGGAGCCAGTAAAGGGTTGGGGGCACTTACTACAGTATTTGTCATACTGCTGAAGGCTGAGTGTGGAGTAATTGGGGAGTTGAAAACTGAGAGAGAGAGTGGGAGCCATTCGTATGGGAGCATCCACACATTCATGAATTTTACTTTCAGAAGATAGGAGAAAAATCTTCTCTTTTCTTTGGCATGAAGGAGGAAAAAATAACTATTTGAAATATTCTCAGAAACAAAAGCCTGCCGTCAAGGTAAACTTTGCCTGAGAGCTTTATCTGAATTACAGAAAAGGCAACTAGACAGTTTGAACACCTTCTACACTTTTTCTCATGTAAGGAGAAAAATAAATGAAGAAACTCTTACAAGTTTGCAACCCAGGGATTCTGGACAACTGAAAAATAGAGTTTTAGATGTTGGAGAAGATAGAGAGAAAAGGGAATGCTTATACACTGTTGGTGGTAATGTAAACTAGTAGGATTTCTCAAATAACTAATGATAGAACTACCATTCTACCCAGCAATCCCACTATTGGTTATCTACTTGACGGAAAAGAAATTGTTATATCAAATGACACTTCCACTTATCTATTTATTGGGGCACTATTCACAATAGCAAAGTCATGGAATTATCCTAAGTGTCCATCAATAGTTGACTGAATAAAGAAAATGTGGTATATATAAACCATGGAATATTATGCAGCTGGAAAAAGGAGCTAAATCATGTCCTTTGCAGCAACATGAATTGAGCTAGAGGCCAATATCCTAAGTGAAATAACTCAGAGACAGAAAATCAAATATTGCATGTTCTCACTTATAAGTGGGAGCTAAACAGTGGGTACACATGGACATAAAGATGAAATAATAGACTCCAAAACAAAGAAAGGTGGGATAAGAGTGCAGGTTGAAAAATTTATCTACCAGCTTCAACGTTTACTGTTTGGGTGATGGGTTCATTAGAAGACCAAATCTCACCATTACAGAATATATCTATGTAGGAAGGCTGCACATGTGCCTCCTGAATCTAAAATTTAAAAAAAAGTAAGAATAAAAAATAGAGATTTTTATCTTAACATTATAGAATGTATCAATGCTTCAGTATCTTATGACCATTTAAACTGTGCTCTGGTATAATAACTGTGGATCACAACTAGAGAGAGTTGCAAGACACAACTCTGCTTAAGAATGAGTCTCTAAGAAAACCCAAAGACAATGAATAGGGAAGGCAGATAGAAGGATATCAGAGAAAATAGAAGCCTCTTATACCTACACCCACAACAACCATTAAATACAGTCTAACTTCTGGCCACATAAACACATAAAACCCAAAGGCCTACTTACTTTGTTTTCTATTATCTGATACAACATGCCTAGCTTTCAACGAACAATTATAAGGCATGCTAAAAGGCAAGAAAAAAACAGAGTCTGAAAAGTTAAAGCAAGCATCAGAACCGGATTCAGATATGGCAGGGACTGGAAATTTAAAATATGCTCTGACTAATATGCTAAGAGATCAACTGGGAAAAGTGCAAGAACAAATGTGTAATATAAGCAGAAAGATGAAACTCAAAGAATCAAAAGGAAATGTTAGAGAGCAAAAAACATTACAACAGAAATGAGAAATGCTTTTGACAGCTATGAAAGAATCAATGAACTTGACGATATGTCAATTGAAATTTCCCAAACTTAAATGGAAACAGAAACAGAATATGAAAAACAAACAAAATTCTAAAAATTGTATGAAAATTACAAAAGGTGGAAAATTCAGGTAATAGGAATACCAGAAGGAAAAGAAAGAAAGCAGCAGAAGATACACAAATAATAGATATCTAGGGATCTAATAATTGTGGACAACTTTCTGAAATTCATAGCAGACATCAAACCATAGATCTGGGAAAATCGGACAACACCAAGCAAGATAATTAAAAAAAAAAAAAACTACACGTTGGCATATTGTATACAAACTGTGGAATATTAGACAAAGAGAAAAAAGTTGAAATGAGTCAGGAAAAACTATCACTTTACTTACAGAGGAACAAGGATGAGAATTACATCTGACATCTCAGAAACGGTGCAAGCAAGAAAAGAGTAGAGTGAACTATTTAGAGAGTTGAAAGAAAAGTCTACTAACCTGGAATTCTGTACCTAGTCTATCCTTTAAAAATGAGAGGAAAATGAAAACTTCCTTAGATAAGCAAAAACTGAGGAAATTTGTTACCAGTAGACCTGCCTTGGAAGAAATGTTAAAAGAAATTCTTCAGAGAGCAAAAAAATGATACGTATCAGAAATTTGAATTAACATGAAGGAAGAACATTAGAAATGCAATAAATGAAGGTAAAACTTAAATCTTTTATTTTTTCTTATTGTTAATTGATCTAATAGATAATTGTTCAAAGTAATAATATCAGTAACATATTGGGTGATTTTAGTTTATCAATAAATGAAATACATAATAGTAATGCTTTAAGGAGCAGGAGAGAGGCACTGGGAATAATGTTTTATACAGTAACTGCACTACCTGTGAAATGGTATCGTGTTATTGAAAAGTGGACTTAGTTGTAAATGTGTACTGCAAACTCTAGGGTATTTTCTAAAAATATGGTTTTAATTATAATTGATATCCTCAGAGAGGAGAGAAAATAGAATTATATAAAATGCTGAATTAAAACTAGAAAAGGTAGCAAAAAAGATGTATTAGTCTATTTTCACACTGCTCTAAAGATATTACCTGAGGTTGGGGAATTTATAAAGGAAAGAGGTTTAATTCACTCACATTTCTGCATGGCTGGGGAGACCTGAGGAAACTTACAATCATGCCAGAGAGCAAAGGAGAA